AAAAAAATGATCATTTTGTACATTCTAGGTTAAGCAATTCCTTTTGTGCAACTTTATACTTTCACTTGCTTTGAATCAGTAGACCTCCTGATGGTTTCCATCCTGTCAGATCATTATGTTACTCTTACATCTTCTCTTGTATAAACCGTTCATAAGTTGGCTCATGAGAAAAGGTTGAATCCTTGATGTATGTTTTAGTTTCCAATTTAAATGATACACAGGATTTGGTTACAGTTTAATTATGTCATTTTAATTTTTAAGTATATTAGTTAACTCTTTTGTGTAAAGCCATCACAATCAGGGAAGATAAATCTTGGAGTACTGTTCTTTTTTCGCTGCTCATAAATGTGCTGCTTCAGTGGTGAATTTTACATTTTTGATTACTTCCCTTAAAATGCCTAGTGTACATAAATCTTGTTGATTTCTTCTCATGGTATCCAGTAAATTGATACTCGATGGAGGCACAATGACATAAGCAAGGAGAAGGAATTTATACATTGTTATCCTGTATTCTTAGAATTGCATTTCTTATAAGTATTTTTCATAGTAAGTTTCCATGGCATCATGGCCTCCCATAATGACACTGTGCTTCTTTTATTCTAGGGTGAGAAAGAAGGCTTGTAAACAGAGGCAGCTTCTTGGGACATGTAACAGTGCATATTGCATGCAAGATTCTGAGAATGTTGTGAAACACTGCATTCATATTGATAATAACCTTCTCGTTCATCCAGATCTCCCAGTGAACTCACGGACTAATAAAAGAAACAAAGGAGAGGGTAGCTGTGATTTTCAACAGAACACAACAAACATCCATGCAATTTTGAGTGAAGAGACAAACTTGAAAAAAAAGGAGCATATGAACAAGACTCGGATGTTGAAGTAATTTTTATATGCTTTTATCTTTTATTTTTTAGAATTATGATTCTCTGTTTACCGTAGTTGTCTATGAGTTTTTATCTGCATTGCATCTTATTTTTGCTCAGTTGACCTTGTAACTTTTAACTTCATACGTTGTTAATCTTATTCAACCATGCACTGAACATTGTAACATAACTTTCTCCAAATGTTTCTAATTGCCTACACACTGGAGGAATAAAATATTGTAATGCTGGTGTTAGTTCCAGGATTCTTGTTTACATGTAATCCATAAACATTTTTAACATGTAAACTAGATGACACATTATTTTTCTTAATTTGATTAACTTGTTTCAGTACTGGCAGAGATTCTGTTTTTGATGGATGGATAATTCACAGGCATTTCTTTATGAATTTCCTGAAAGAAATATCATTAGCAATCTGATTGAACAACCTAAGACTTAAATTACTTGAAAATCGGGATCTTAACAAACTCTTCGACATGCATTAGGCATTAAGGACATATATGTATACACATATACATATGTATGTGTATACATGTATACAGATACATGTATATGTACATGTACATGTACACACACACACACTTTATATATATATATATATATATATATATATATAACAAATTTTATCGTCCTGCTAAGTTTTTGATTCGTTTCATTTTATCTTACATGATAGTTGCAGGGGAAGATTTATATAATTGACCATAGTGGAGTAACCTATAAGTACTAGGAGAAGGACCAGGGGCAACTTGGTCTTTTCCTAGTATGATAACTGATAAATTGCTCCACTAGGAGCAATGTACACTCCTCTAGTTGTAAATATTTCTTTTAATTAAGTCGCTTCTTATTCTTTGATGAAGGAGAAGGAAATTAAATCCAAGCAACACTGAAAAGCCTATCATAACTGCTGAGCCAAATGAGAACGTCCTATTCGAAAAGAATGAACACTTTGTTCAGAAGAGAAGCAGCTTAAGGAGAATTTTAAATAGGAAAGATGGGACATCTGATGGAGATGGCAGATGCGATTCACTCATTTCAAACAGGCTTCATCAGGCGCATGCAAACTATTGTAGAAGTCAGCCTGAATCTCATGCTAATGGCAAAGCAGAACAGGTTTGTTATACTTACATTGCTGTTAAGCTTTTATAATTTTTATGAGATAGTTATCTTGTAAACTTTTGATCATAGATAATGTATAAATTAACTTTTTAGGCTTAAAAGTTTATAATTTCCATTATTTTGGTGTTAAAAGAAATCCTTGGGCAGTATTTTCAATTCTGCAGTCAAATGACCAGAGGCAAACATATGTGTAGATTACCTTATTTTCTCCTATTTCTGTTATGTTCGTTGTTCTTTCCCTCCTTAAGTAGTTGCTTGGAGTCTGATATATTGCAAAAATTGTAAATTTAATGGAGTAAATTGGCAGATAATTCAGCCAGAAGAGATTTCTCGACAGATATTTGTCATAGTTTTGGAGCATTTTTTTTATCTGGACTTACCTCTGTAATATTATATATAGATCTGAAAAGTATGAAGAGTTTCTTCGTGGCTAGCCTTTGAGGTACTAGGTGGTTAAGTTGTCTCTGTGTGTTCTAGCAAATGATAGATCTATTTTCTTGAGTAGGGCACCCATGTTAGTCTGATTTAGCTTGCACTTGTTTTCCTTGGTCACTATGTTGGTTTTATAGTTAAGTTTAAAATACTTAAATCTTTATTTATAATTTTTTAATAATTTTTTTAGGTCTTCCTCTATCCTTTCATGTTTCTACCTCTCAATGTTAGTGGTATTACGAGAAATAGCATAAGGAGATATAGAGGAAGATCTAAAAAGATTTTAATAAAAAATATAAATAAATATTTAGGAACACTAAACTAGACTAAGTATATGATATTTTTACATATCATAATGTATCTCAATAACAACAAATGATCTATATTGTCGACCCCAAATAGTTCGGATTTATGGTTTTGTTGTTGTTGTATATATTTGGTTTTAGACTTAATTTGCTTACATGATTTTTCTTCGAACAACAGAGTGAATACCCTTTGCTTGTGGATGTCGGTTTATTGAAAGCAATTTCTACGAGTGACATGCAAAGTGATGGAAACAAGATGGCAGCACCAGCAAACAACTGGGAAGTAGCAGTATCAGTAGCAAGCGCCAAGGAGTCGAGTACTCATGTCACAGGTATCAACAAACTTTGCTCAGTGTGAAATATCATTTCGGCATCCGATTCATTTTTACGATGAAGCTGAGTTGCAGTTGTGGCAAATACAAAAATTTCTTGTCTTGTAGAGCCCATGCCAAATTCTGACTGGGGGCAAATGCAGCAGTGTTTGAGTGAGAGAATGAAGACTCGGCTTCAGGAGAATAGATGGGATTGCTGGATAGCAAATAAGATTAGTGCAACTCCCTGGCCATGGGCAGTGAGTGGGAGAGGTGCAGTAGGGACTGCTGATGGATCTTTTCGAGGAAAATGGCGCAATCGTGCTCCTGCCAAGTATGTTACTAATCTCAAATCTTCCAAGTCTTAGTCTTTTATGGGATTTGCTTCCCATTTATGTATATATTTTAGTAGTATGTCAATACGTTGGGAAACTGAGTTGTGGAATTTGTTAGGGATTACGCGAGTAGTTTAACCTAAATCTTGGCTTCTTTTGCTTAAAAATTTCATATTTTCTGCATGAGAGGTAATGTCGAAATGCGATGTCTGTTTTCCTCTCATTTTCGAACTGTTTGTATTGAGAAGATACTGTAGTAATTTCTGTTTAATTTACGTTAAGTACCGATTTGTTCTCTCGTATTAACTGTAATTATAACTGTATTAACTGTAATTATAATTGAATATCGAATCATTAGCACGATCAATACGAGAATGATGTGATCCATACTGCCGCTCCCGGCGGTTTCGCACTCGTCGCCGAACGCCGCTCGGCACGTGACGACGTTCGTTACCGACAGCGCCATCTTGCTCAGGTCGATAGGGGACGACGACGAAGAGGGAGCGAGCCGCCGGATCGAGGCGACCAGAGACGCCGCCGCGGAAGGATCGCACCCGCTTGGCGCTTAGCATCTCCACCATGAACACCTTGCGCGCCTGCCGCCAGTACACCCCGTGCGGCGCGAACGCCACGTCCCGGAGGCCGTAGGACAGCCTTTCCTCCGCGTACAGCGTCGGCCTGCCGGCGAAGGCGAGGTCGTGGGCCCTGAGGGCCTCCCGGGCGACGTGGGCGGATGAGATGACCACGGTGGGGATGGAGCCGAGCTGGAGGAACATGAGCGGGCCGTGGCGCTCGGCCAGCGCGCGGAGGGCGAGGAGAGGATTTGCCCCGACCTGGTGGAGGTTCCAGACGACGGGGAGCCTCCACGGCCCCGGCGGCAGCCTCGACCTCTTCCTCCTTTCTTGCTTTATGAGGAAGAGGAGGAGAGGAAGGGAGAGAAAACGGCATTCTTGTCCTTGTTGCAGCAAATTCTGGTGTCAGATGAAGTGCTGATTCCCAAGTTTTAAAGAAGAAGAAGAAGCAGAAGCTTGCCGGCAGAGCCGGTAAGGAATTCCGCTTCCAGCGTAGAGAGCCAATGGAAAGAAGTAGCTCCTTTCACTTCTTACCTGGTTATCTACGACTTGTCGGCATAGGTCATTAGTGGTTAATGGGGTTACGGCACGACTGCAAGTCAACCCAACTAATTTGTGGTGTCAAGGGGGGTTACGTCTCGACAAGTATTCAGTGTCATGTCGATGCTGGTTTCAAGTCAACTTCAAAGGACCAATTAGAACTGTCATTCCTAATTCGTACGAGCATCCACACCCACGAAGCAGAACTGTGATCATCTCAACGTGAATCACTTGTTGCAGGTATTTGCAGAGGATTTTAGGGTTCTCAATCGGCTATTTTATGAGAAAGCAATCAGTGCATGGAGCGAGTTCGATTGGTTGTGCTGTGCTTCCAATCTGTGGATCGATTTACACAGCCTGAGATAGTCAAGAATGTACCACCAAAGGCTGATGCTTCACTTCTTAGTAATATGTTCTATCATAATGCAAATATTGTACCTTTTATGCTGCTTTGGAACAAAAGCTAATCTTTCCATTATAATTTCATTAATACTAATTTATGAATCAATTTGGGTTCTAAAGAAAAGCTCATTTATTAACCTGTGGAAAGTAATCCATGCCAAGCAATACGAATTGAACTACCATATACCAAATCATCATCATCATCCATTGCTTCGATTAATCTAATCGACGCCATTAATATTCTTGCGTCTTCTTCAGATCCTCCGTAGCTTGTCCTTCACGACGACGGGGTTGGCCTCGGCGATCGCCGCGCGGCCATGCGCCTTGTAGTCGAACGCGCACTCGTGCGTCTCCGGGAGGCGGTGCGCCGCGCAGAACGTGCTCCCGCACCGGCACTCGAACCTCGCGCACAGCCTCACCTTCTTCTTGCACTTCCCGCACCGGTCCGCCGCCTTCGGGGGCTCCTCGCCCGGGTAGGAGGAGGACGGCGCGGCCGCGACCTTCCGGCTCCCGGCATCGGACTCCGCAGCGGCCGAAGGCGGCCGCATCTTCTCGAGCCGCTCCATGAGGCAGACGTCTCGGTAGCACCGAGAGCACAGGCCGCGCGTCGCGGGGCTGCCGAAGAAGCCGCAACCGCTGGCGCAGGGCGAAGGGTTCTCGCGGTGCTCTCCGGAATCCATGGCGACAGAAAACTCAAAGTCTCTGCTGATTGGAAGCGATGCAAGGCATAAGAAACGAGCGAGAAGTGGATTGCTAGAACGACGAGGCAACATATATAGAAGATTTACTACAGAGTCCGAATCAGATTCGGACTTTTCCTAGTTGGATTCGGATTCCGAAGCCTACTGGGGAGAGGATTTTGTTTCAATTTGTTTTCGTATTCTTTACGTCGGGTCCGGATTCTTTAGTAGCCGAAATCCGGACCCGCCAGATTCTGACCTCCCCATCCAAACTCCCACTGCAAACCCGATACTCGTCATCCTTATCCTCCTTCCCCGAGTCGACCCGAACCGCTACCAGCGACCTCACTCCGGCCACGTGCCCCTGAATCACGCCCAGGCAAGCGTAGCCCTTGCCTTCGCCTTCCCTGCGCCAAATCCTGACCGTCCGATCGCTGCTTCCGCTGAAGAGCACGTCGTCGACGCAGGCGAGGCAGAGGATGGCCTTCCTGTGCCCCCGCAGCGCCCCCGCCACCGCCATGTGGCCCGCCGACTCCTCACGCTCCCACACCAGGATCGACCTGTCGCAGGCGCCCGAGTACAGCACGGCGCCGTCGCCGCTCAGCGCCAGCGCGTTCACCGCCGACCGGTGCCGCTCCAGCGTCGCCACCAACCTGTGCCGGCGCCTCCGTCCCTCCTCGACCAGGGAGCGCGTCCACGCCCTGATCCTCCCGTCCGCTGAGCCCGTGTACACCGTGCCGTCTCCGGCCACGGCCACGGCGTTCGCCGCGTCCTCGTGGGCCGGGACGGACTCCAGGCAGCGGAAGTCGCTGCCGCCGCGCCAGACCTTGAGGGTCTTGTCCCACGAAACGGAGTAGAGGAGGCCCTCGCGGAAGGCGACGGCGGACACGGCGTCGGCGTGCTCGACCCACAGCCGCTTCTTGTGGCGGCGGACGGCGACGTAGTTACCAGGGAGGGGAAGACGGCGGAGGCGGTCCGCGACGGTGGGGAGGGTGGCGTCGAGGCGGTGCCTGCCGGAGCGGACCGACCGGCGCCACGCGCGGATTCGGCCGTCCTGGTGGGCGGTGAACAGCCTGCCGTCGGGGGAGAGGGCGACCGACTTGACGAACCCGGCAGACGGCACCCCCGCGAAGGTCTCGACCGGGCGGGCGGAGACGAGGTCGAAAACCGTGATCTCGGACTCAGACGCGGAGTAAAGGAACGAGGAGGTGGCCGAGACGGCGAGGGCGGCGGCAGAGGAGGAGGACGTGAGGGCCTTGATCGACGACAGGCAGAGGTGGGATGCGGAACAGCGTACACTGTCGGGGTAATTGTAGATAGGGACAACGGACTGAAGGGAGGGGAGAGAAGGGAGGGTCCCGACGGAGGCGGCGTCGTCCTCCGTACTGGAGGGAAGGCAGAGCGACATTGCAGATGCACCGGCGAGAGTGGGAAGCGGAGGGGGGCGAACTATTTATCCTGCGAATGACGTAGCGACCGCGAGCTGCGTGGCGAAGCCAGAGAGAAAGAGACGTGGGTCCATCAAGTCGGGCCGAGAACTCCGCGTTACAACCGCAACCACATCTGCAAGCACACGTGCTCAGCGCGTGACGACTAGGTGCACGAGATGAGTACAATTCTTGGTCACAGCTCGGTTCTGTTTCGCCGACGTGGAAGCAGTAGAGTAAAGCCTTCTATCTCTCATTTCCGGGGGGTCCACACGCTTCGGTGACCAAAACCACAAACCCTTGTTTTGTCCCGCCAACGCTGCATGCCCGACAAGCAGTTGCCATGCAAGCGCTCAGTGATATCCAGTTGTATACAGACCACACCTCGTAAGCTCCAGGAAGGTATCCATGGCACGAAGACTACAGTTGGATGTGATAAGACACATCTGATAATGAGAAATATATCAATAAGAGGAACATACCAAGTGTTACATGGCATCAGTGGCAGCAGAAACAAGACAAAAGCAACATGGTTAACGGAAGCTGGCTTCACAATAATTGACACAAAGAGGACCATGGAACAGAGACAGTCAAAAGACATCTTCTCCAGAGTTTGCATGTCAGCTTCTCCGTAGAGTTGAATTGCATATCATCTTCTACATAGACTTTGCATGTCATCTTCTCCGGGAAAGCTAAACGTTCAACAAGTGCAAAGTGCCTGATTCATCAAAATCTGACACAAAAATAGCTGAGCATAAGAAAAAACCAAGGTTAAGTTGTCTCTCACTGTGCATGGATCTTTTACTTTCCATTGATCCGATGATGCCAAGTGAAAATTGCATCATGGTCAGTGATGTAACCTTCCAAAAAGAGATTGTGAGCTCTCGCAGAACTGTGTAACATTTACTTCATTTGCGCATGAGATCCCATTAAATGCAGCAGAATTATTTACAGAACAAGTGCCAATGCTGTCGTCTTCTGCTGCTTCTCTTAGCTCAAGATCAAACACAGAAGGAACACATGAATCCATAGTATACCTCTCTGGCATCCTCAGTGTGTGTGCCCGAGCTACTCGAGGGTTAGGAAAACCTGTCTGGCACCTGCAGTAACTTCCCATGGAGCTAAGCATAGTTTTCAGTGCTCCGTTGAAAAGCTACCGGTTAGCATGGACCACACTGCATGCATAGTTCAAATCCATAGTCTCAGAAAAGGTAGGCGTGATGAAGTGCACTAATTGAAGTTGTTGGATTGTCGTGGATCTTCTTCAGACATGGAGGGTCACCATGCTGGTGCAGTAAAGGTGTCCAAGAGCAGTGATGTCGAAAGAAGCCTAGAGCTCGCTTGTAGGCCTGTGGCTCATCAAGTTCCATCGTCGGAAGGAGCTCCAGAAGGTACGCACTATTTTGACGATGGCATGAGCTCATCATATTCCATGAAGCAGGTCCATGTCTCGGTGCTGAAAGTACGGTGTGATGGACATGGCAGTCGGCATGCTGCCTGTCGCTGAGGGTTGGGCATTGAGGACGCGTAAAGAAGGTAGTCGACTGTGGATCACAGTGAGTTAAGTCCTCGGTGTCGTGTGTCAGGACAAAGAAAGGATGAGGAGGAACAAACAGCTCGGAGTTAGGTCAAGTTGGCTGAGGAAGAAGAAGCATTGGCTGTGTATTAGATTGAGTCTATAAAGAAAGGTGACAAGGGGAAGAACTGATCTCATGATATCGAGTTGTTCTTGCAACACCAAATAATCATCAAAGCTGTTTCAGATCCAGTGAAGCTAAATATAGAGATTCATGCCATTTCATGGGTGTTTATGTTTCTATGTTCTGAGACATCGTATAATATTTGTCTTTGATTACTAGTAATAAACTCACATATGAAGCTTACGCCTATAATAACAATAATTATTTAAGATTATAAATCTCAATTATTTGATATCGATTTACATGAAACATTTATTGCATGAGATAGATAAAACTAAGAGTATTTAAATGATTATTAATTATATTATATATTAAAGTCTTTTATTAGGTATTTATATACCTTTACTCATTATCATTTTACTACTTCTATCCATGTCGTATTAAACTAAATCCTCTCATTTCATCTACTATTAAAGTGAAATCTAAGAATTCACGAAGATTTGAAGGCGCATCATTTATTTGTCTTTGATTACTACGATCAACTCATACATGCATGAAACTTATAAGATGAATCAAAATCAAATTTGTTTTGATCTCATGGCAACATGGCATCTACTTCATGATATAATTGAGGCCACTTATGACATAGCAATATAGGAAATTTTTTAGCAGGTGTTTTACATGGCGATCACAATGTTAGTTCTTAATGCTATTTTTTTGTTTATTATGTTTTTATCTTCAACAATTTGATGATCATGTTGCTATAAGAACAAAAAATGAGTATTTTTCTTTAAATACCGATCGATTAGTCCTCTACTATGATCTTTGATAATGAATTTACTATCAGTTGATATGTGATTGATATAGTTACGTTGATATGCACTAAGTAAAATAATTTAGATCTTATTACCCCAAAAATAATGCATATATTCAAATCATTTTACCATCAACATGAACTGAAAATTATCTCTCTGTCAAATGTTGATACAAAAAAAAAAGTAATATCAAATTGCAAATGTAGTGCCCGAAAAGCCATCATTCACCATCTAATTTTATATAGTACTGTGAAATTGACATGCACAAAGTACCTCATCATTCTTGTAGGTCACACAAGCCTCAACTTGACCTTCTCTAGGAAGAATCAATGAGGCGTGAGGCTCAACGCCTTCTTACAAGTCAAACTAATAATTAATGCTAGCTTTTCCTTGGGAGACAAACAAGTACCAACTTACTTGTAGGCGGCAGAATCCCATGATCCGAGCCGCATGTCTAATCCTATCTTATCCTTCTTTCCTCGATTATTAATTTTGTATTTGAAATCATATATTGTGCTAAAATCGATGTGGTCCTCTCCTTTAATTTCAATGATTTTTTAGATATCTATCCTTCTTGGAGATATCAAGATCATTCATGTGTATTCTTTACATTAGCATTCATCTAGAAAATTTAGGTAAATCAAGGTTAATAATCATTAACATTAACTATTTTGAATTTTAAAAAAATATACAAAAATATCATGATACTTAAAATACTTGCACTATGCTTATAATCATAATGAGTTTTTTCTTTTCTGATAAATGGTAGATGATGAACATGAGTGTTGATCTCGGGATCGATAGTATTTAATAGATAAACAAAATAGCACATTCAAATAATAATTGAATGTGTGTTCGGATCGAGATAGATTAACCAAATATATAATCAATGGACTAATATATTAAGTGTACATAATTTGTCGAATAAAATTAAAAACCTTCAATTAAGTTTGATATATCATTATTAGATTAATATTTTATTAAATAAAATTTTAAATTATTGTCATAATATACCATCATCAAATCAATACTTTTAACTAATAGCCAAATGATATTAGTGACAAAGATGAACTCTATATATTTATATATATTGTAATGCTATATATATATATATGTGATATAATATTTTAATTTTGTTTTATAAACCATGTTTCCTTCTCCACCATCTCACTCATCATATTCCAAGAAACTAAATGACAAAAACATGCCCATTCAGTCAAATAGAAGCTACAAATGCCCCCACATGCCTTTGTTTCCTTCCTTCCCCACATGGAATATTGGAGGAGGGCACAAACTTGCAACCCTAAATGGCCAATGGGGCATTAATTTTTGAGAGCTTAGCTGATGCACAGAAACCATGGCCACTCGAAATCCGGATTCTTGTTTCAATGGTTGGCATGCATGTTGGTGTTTTGGAGATTGTGTTGTTGGTAGCAAAGAACCCCACACACACACACACACTCACTCTCTCTCTCTCTTAGACCACTTGTAAATGTAGAAGAGGCTTTTCAATCATTTTATATTTTTATTTTTAATATATCTTTGAGATGGATAATATAAATAATTCTTAAGACTATTTTTTTTCTTCTATTTTAGGATTATTAAGAAGTCTTTCTTTCTTTTCTAGTGCACCTTTTTTTTCTTTCAGATATATATGAATTTCTTTTATCCAAAATGAATATTTTTATTTAATTTATCAAAAGAATATTAGGGTGTCATTCCAAGTTGACATTCAGTAATTTCATCTTCATCTCTCTCTCTCTCTCTCTCTATTTTCTTTATTTAGTCTTATTATATTTTTGGCCCAATTTTTTTTTCTTTTATTTTTACATGTTTTGTTTTTTTAGTCCATCTACCTAATTCACTACCCCTCTTAAGTTGCATTGACCATATTAAATGTATAAAGAAACAGTCATTCATAGTTCTATAACTTATCAAGAGATGTCTGTCTTAACTGAGTTTAATCTAACTTATTATCCATTGGCCAACCATAAGCCTTTCAATTACTCATCTCAATAACTTATATGACTCATTCAATGATGGTGTCATGCAGCTTCAGGTCAACCACATGTCAATTGGATCATGAGCTGAGGTGGCCTAACCCAACCATGGTCAAACTCTCTCTCTCTCTCTCTCTCTCTCCTTTGTGGATAAGCTCCATATAGTGTTCATAATTTAATTTTCATATATGTTATATATATATATATATATATATATATAATATGTATCAAACATCATGATTTATTGATTGTTCTCTCATCCCTTATATGGTCTGTATTTATCCATATTATTTATATTTTAATATAATAAATTATTTAAAAAATATTATAGAATATAAGAATATTAAATTTATGAGACAGCATTGGTTGATCCAACAAAAGATCTAATGAATCGAAACTTGAATGGTGGAAAAAGCAACAAATACTGTGAAGTGGAAAGCAAAGCTTTCGGCTTTGGGATGAAAAAGAAAGAGAGGAAGAAGAAGAAGAAGAAGAAGATCAAATCTAGTTAGATTGACCCCCCGAAATCCAACAGCTTAACTCGTTCCTTCCTAATATAGTAATATTATCTCCCTTTCCGTACTATATCTCTCTTCTTCTCACAGGGAGACACACACCCACACGGCGCCGGAGAGGGAGAGAGGTGGGGAGATGGGTGGGGTGACTTCCTCGGTGGCGGCGAAGCTGGCCTTCTTCCCGCCATCGCCGCCGTTGTACGAGGTGGTGACGGAGCCGGAGTCAGGGGTGGTGCGACTCAGCTGCTTCCCCCACCGCGAGAACGTGGAGGTGCTCCGCCTCCCCACCCGCCGCGGCACGGAGATCGTCGCCCTGTACGTCCGCAACCCCTTGGCGGCCTCCACCCTCCTCTACTCCCACGGCAACGCCGCGGATCTCGGCCAGATGTACGAGCTCTTCGTCGAGCTCAGCATCCACCTCCGCGTCAACCTTCTGGGGTACCTCCTCCCTTCTCTCTTTCGCTTTTGGTGTTGAAAGATCAGATTTTGATGGTTGGAGAAAAATCTATGCTTCTGAATCGTAGCCAAAAAAAAAAAAGGGTTCTTTGATGCAGTTCTGAAATCCTCGAGTCAATTTCACATTAATTTGCTTCTTTTTGGAGTAGATCACGGTCTCAGATGAGTTCGATGTGATGCCCTTCTCCTATTTGTGCTCTAATTTAAGTGATAAGTTAGATTTCCTCCGGATTTGGGTCTATCGAGCCTTACCTTTCAAGCTCAAGATTGGTACGAGAAAAGCAATTTCTGTTGACTTTGATCAGTATATCTCATTTGCGGATACAAGCAATCTGATGATTAGAAGGTTGTTTTCATGTCCAAAAATCTGATTCGTTGGTCATATTAGAAGAGATATGTTCTGTTTTGTTAAATGTGTGAGTAGCATGATATTGTTTATCTATTGACTACAAATCTAACTTTAGAATAATAGCATCACGAAAGGAATGATCTTATGCGTGCCATAAATTAACAAGTCTCTGCCCTTTGACATTGATGACATATCTTAAAATCCAAACAAACCAAGAAATCACATATTTGGTTATCTGTCATTTAAATGCTTCCACAGTGGCTTCTTTGCATGAATAGTGTGGATCTGCCGCCACATTCATGTCTTCGTATTAAAATCATTCACTAACCAAATTATTGATTTTGGATATGGTTCCTTGATTATCCAAATCAAGGTGTCAAATTTTGGTTTGGTATCGATACGGTACACTCGCATACCAATCATTACGAGTTTATTGGGGGAAGGAGGCAGAGGTGGAGGAGGAGGAGAACGAGAAGAAGATGAAGAGGAGGATGCAGGGGCGGCTAAGGAGGAGTTGATGTTGGAGGACGAGGAGGCTGAGACAGCAGCGAAGTATATTGAGGAGAGAAAAGCAAATAAAAAAAGACAATCGTAACGACTATCATTATATTATAAAGAAAAAACTTTTCCATATGTTAACTTATAACCTAGTAAGCCCGATACAGTGAGCTTACCTAATTAGCTTTGTTTTGAACCAGACCGAACAAAGTTTCATAGTTCACATATCAGTAAATACGAAGTCTTAAATAATGATTCATATTACCATCTAATTAATTGACAAGCACACTACCTGGTACATCATATATGAGTTAATCTTGTTGGGATAAGCTTATATATGAGTTGACCTCAAAACAATGTTCTTCTACTAACACTGGTGAGCTGAGCAGTTTATTATCAGCTGATATCCCTCTGAGTTCTATTATTGAGCTGCATTAAATTTGTTGGACTGACATTGAAATCTTTGTTGATCTGTAAGATCTATCAAACCATGAACCTTTCTGTTCTGCAAAGCAAACCTGACTCATCTTTATGATCATACAGTCACTTTCAGATTTTGCGAAACCTGAGGTGAGAAACTCTGTTTTCAGGTTTGCAGACGTATGTTCATCAACATTTGTCCTTGTCATTCTAAGTTCTTTATGATAAGCTTAAGAGCAAATTAGTTTCTGTCTCTTGTATTGACCTTCCTTGCCTCAAGTAGGATAAGTAAAATGCTACTAAATAACTAAACAGTCGTCGGTATTGCTTAATACCAACATTTATAATCTACTCCAGTTGCTTTATTTTTTAGTGCTGGCTTTTAACTCATAACTCTTTTCCCTAACTTGGCTGAAGCTTTCATATGCTTGCAGGTATGACTATTCTGGATATGGGCAATCATCCGGAAAGGTTTATATGCTCATCTCTCTAACTCTGCTTGGTGACCTTTTTTTTTTTTTGCTTTAATAGGTACAGAGTAACTGAACAGATTTGTCATATTTGTAGCCAAGTGAGCAAAACACATATGCCGATATAGAGGCTGCTTATAAGTGCCTTGTCGAGATCTACAGTGCTAAGGAGGAAGAAATTGTCCTCTATGGTCAGTCTGTCGGAAGTGGACCGACGGTGAATTTGGCTGCCCGACTACCTCACTTAAGAGCTGTCATATTGCATAGCCCTATACTCTCAGGTTTAAGAGTGATGTATCCCGTAAAGCACACATATTGGTTTGACATCTACAAGGTTAAATTTCATGCAATTGCTTATGTTCCTTGTTTTTTATGGTTCAATTGTGTATCTTAAATTTTTTACTTTCATTTTGTCCAGAATATTGACAAAATATCATCGGTCAATTGTCCTGTGCTGGTAATTCATGTGAGTATATCTCTCTTACATTCTATTCTGAATATAATGTAAATGAATATAATATAAAATGTACATGAGAAATTTCCATCCTGAAAGGAACTTGTATTACTACTGACAGAAAAATACTTAAATACTTAATTGAGCTACTCCTTGAATTATGATGACATGATAAATTTTATGTTTGCATCTTCGAGGAATGTTATATGGTATCTGCATCATTGCAAGTTGGATTTGTAGCTTCAGAGCTATTCATGGGTGCATAAACAATGACCTGTATGCAATTTCCGAGTTAGAAGTTCTCCAATTTTTCATGTCATAATTATTTCTAAATGTAATTACAGGCACTTACTAATACTTATTTCGATCTGCAGGGAACATCAGATGAAGTTGTGGACTTCTCTCATGGCACAAAGCTTTGGGAATTATGTAATAAGAAGTATGAACCGCTTTGGCTCAAAGGAGGAAAGCATTGTGACTTGGAGCTTTTTCCTGAGTACATCAAACACCTCAAGAAGTTTATATCTGCGGTCCAGAAATCGCCTTCTCAGAGGAGCACCTGGAGAAGAAATGCAGATCAATTTGAGCTATCGAGGATGAGCACCAGCCGCTTGGAGCCATCAAGGATGAGCTTTGGTCGGAGAGAAAGATCTAAGCCAAGCACTGCAAAGTCTAAAAGCAAGGATCAGACGTCTCCCAATGTGGAAAAGCAGGAGAAGATGAAGATATCATTTGACAAAACAGAGAAGTCCAGGAGAAGTCTGGATTGCTTCAGACTTTCCGGGAAGCACGTCGCCGATCAACCGGATAGAGGACGTCGGAGCGTCGACAGATTGGATAGGATATGGGCCGGTTGAAGTCTTAATTTGTTTGTGGAATCCATACATGGGCTTGATTGTGTTGGGAGAAGTATCTGTACATTTATTTGTGCTTACCAATCATGTAATCTGTTTGTGGATGTTTATATGGCAATGAGTGGATGCTGAAAAGGAAGCCTAGATGACAAGTGATTGATGCTCTTGGCTTATAATTTAGCAACATTTTTATTCTTGATGTTTAAGCAGCTTTAACAGGGTGGAATAAGTGTAGTTGTTCATGTGGTGTGTATGTAATTTGTTCCTGTGGCAATTGACAAGAATATTTGGGAATGAAGCTAATTCTCCTACAATTGCAGTTAATTTATTCCATTGATTTTTTTCATGAGGAGATAACTCCTTCTGCCTCTTTCATTGAGAAATATTAATGTCTCTGGGGAGAAGGATTCTTACAGTAAGACATGGAGATGTACAATGCCATAGAAATATGCAGGTCTATGTCATGGTACTCTGCTAATGCAACATTAGTGATCTATAGGACTTTGAGTAGATTTGTAGTTTGTTTAATCTGAATATTCTGTGTTTGCTACAAAGGTATTTTTCTATCCATTTGAGCAGATTATGCTTCACTTTTCCTTCATATATTTAATTGTTCCATGAACCACTATCAAAGGGATATATTGTGATGGATGTTATCAAATTGAAAATTATGGCTGCTTGCATCCATCAGTTGTCATCTACTTCTGATGAAAATTAGACATTTCAAAATCTGTTCAGTATCATCAAAAAGAAAAAGAGTTTATGTTAACAAAATGGAGAAACTTTATGCTTGTACTGCACATTATTACAAAAGTAAAAAAAAAACAGATAACAAAATTTTATGGATATAAAAGATGCTGCAACACAGCAAGACTTGGTGAACAACACAACATTCAATAATTTACTGGAAAGGTCAATTTAAGTAACAAATTTGAAGATTCTTGCCATGTCAAGAATCAGCTACCATATCATATAAGAAAGGTTTCAGCACAGATGTATGTCAGAGATAAAGAGGCTAACTAACACAGCACACTAGTCCCAATTTAGCACCATGATCACATTAAAGTCAGATAATTATCAATCTGGAAGCTAATAATTGATGCCAATTATTATTGCTAGACATGCTAGACATGCCTTAAGCATCACAGTATGAATGTAGGCATGCTTCAATATCCAAAATAAGCTAAAATATAATTGATGGTTGAAATGTATTCTTAAGGATTTAGCACCTTTTCAGTTGGAACAAACCAACAAGACTGCTTTTATATATGTCAGATTGAGTTCTTCATAATGCAAAGTTAATATACTTTCAAATCCATTCAAAAGTCAAACTTATACATGATAATGAGAGGAAGTTCAACATATGACCCCCTAGGTTATTGCCAGCATAAAATGGCAAGATAACATCATTCTGAGAGAAACCAAAGCATTAGCAAACCAAGTTTGCCAGTGAATCAAGCAGTTCAAACAGTAACAAAAATTACATAAGTGAATCCTTCTGTTTTGCTTGAGCCAGCAGCTCTCCTCTAAGTTGCTTAATCTCCATTTCCCTCTCCAATCTCTCATTCTGAAAGAATGGAAGTGAATCAAAACCACAAAATCATATCAGAGGCATAACTTAATCAAAGAAAAGAATAAGATTTTCTTAAGGCTATAATTGTTGCACATCATAGAGCATTTGTTCCATATAGTCAGTCATATTCCCTTATCCAGTTTACATTACTTTTATGATCAGAAAGTCCCTAAGTTATGACTAAAAGAACCTAAGATTGGTTATTTATATGTTGGCTAAGAAAGAATGCATAGTCCAGCCTGATACAACATCCAAAATAGAATTTCATTACCACCCATCTCCTTGGAGATCAATATGAGTCTGGGAAGAGCACTGGCAGTGAAAGACAAGTGACAGGAGGAACAAAAGGAAAAAGATAAGAAAATGAAAATGTGGCAGGGGAACTTTTAAACCTTGATAATGTTTATTCCAACTCCTTTACTCTGGAGATCACAACTGATAGGTTTGTTCCTTTTTCTAAGTTACATCTTTTACAAATTGTTTAACTTCATTGTTGTCAAAAGCTCAATATTTCAAAAGGATAATTTTTCACTTAATTAACTATATTGGAGCAATAAAAAAAAATTATACAGGCTGCAAACTGGTACATTCATCATACAAAAAAATATGTTTTTTTCAAAAGGTATTTCAGGGAATATGATAAATAAATGATGATGATATTAAAAAATATTTTAAGAATTATAAGAAATAAAAGGAGTCTTTCGGATAATATAAAAAAGAATTACCTATCAGAAAAAATAAAAAAGAAGTTTTTTTTTCTGATAGGTAATTCTTTTTTATATTTGAATTAAAAAATATATTTAATTAAAAAAAATTAATTAAATATATATATTTGAATCCCACTATGATATTCAAGTGTTCTTGATATCCTTAATTTATTTTGACTTATTATAATATTTTTAATAATATTATCGTATTTTTTATTATCAAAGTACTAAAAATACCATAAAACTATTAAAAAATAATATAAAGTGATATCATATTTTAGGTTTTACATTGGTTTGATTAATGTTATGAGTTCATTTATATAATTTATAACTTTATAGTATTTTTGTTGTTGTGACCAAGATATTAGAACTGTAACAAACCAAAAATACTCTAACATACATGAACAATATAATCTTTTTTGAGGAACAATTAAAATATTTTTAAATTAAAAATATATTATTTAAAAAACAAAAAGGTGATGTCTTTTGGAAAAAAAAATGTCTCGAGAGACAAGTCGTTTAAAATAAAAAGTTAGGCAAAATAAAATATTTAGGATGTTCTTAATGTCACATAAGAGTCAAAGAATCATATGAAAGAAAATTATTGCAAGTTTCAATAAATAATTAAATGACAGCAAATGGACAGAGATATGATATGCACGCATGTGCTTAGGTTTTAAGGATATATGTTAAATTTATATTTGAAGGAATACATATACAATTCATTTCTTTCATATATATTATAATAATTTGTGATTCTTGTTTGCAAATAATTATGTTCTTTTCAAAAGGTATTTCAGGGAATATGATAAATAAATAATGATGATATTAAAAATTATTTTAAGAATTATAAGAAATAAAGGGCGGCTTTTGGATAATATAAAAAAGAATTACCTATAAAAAAATTAAAAAGAAGTATTTTTTTCTTTCCGGAATTCATATTTAGCGCCCCAAATCAGCAACATTTGGCGGAGTGGAAACGGAAAACATTTTCGATCATGTTAACAAATGATTAAGATCAACCACACGCAATAGCGTCAAATTTTGGCTTGGCCGCAACAATCGATGGAACAAAAAAACAAAAACAAAAAGAACCGCAACGCTTTTTGCATAGGATTTTCTTAGGGCTAATAAACCGGGGGCAGACTTGACTCGCTTCGTCCGGGACCTGTCGGAAGCCGAAAGGGGCGGGCGATGATGGATTTCCGTTGAGCCGCCGCTGTCGCTTCGGATCCACGCTGCTCCCCTCCTCCTCTTCCGCATTATCGCATCGAGATCTACATCAGCGCCGCCGCCGACGGCGCCACTACCATGAGCGGTTGCCCATCGCGGTGCCACGCCTCGGATCTCGCCGGCAGATCCGCCCTCAAATATCCAAATGGACGCTACCTCTCGCCCAGCGGTGGTCATCGACAATGGCACCGGGTATTTCCTTGTGCAATTGCGTGCTTCTAGTGTAAATCGACTGCTACTTTGATTCCTGGTTGCGTAAAAGTCGTGAATTATAGTCAAAATTAGTTGATGAGTTGACGACGTAAAGCAAGGGATCATTTTGGAGGAGACCTCGAGGATGTAGATTGAGATGTTGAATTCCTTTTTCGTCACTTGTGGATGCATCTTTAGGTTCATAAGTTGAGGGTTGTGAATTTGGTGTCGATCAGAAAGGGATTGTGCTCTTGAAATGATCCGAAGGTGAAGTGCGTGGAATATCGAGGTTGGAGTGATACGTGAGAGGGCATGGAATACGTGGTCGACTGCAGATACCAGATGGCCATAAAAAGCGGGGTTAATTGTTAGACCGATGCTATGGCTGTGGTACTTTGCTAGTGTGTAGCAGGGTTTTGTTGATGCTTCTCGGCATGTGTTCCTTTATCTGTTGCGTGTTACATTAATGGGGATGTGGGTTCTGGAAATTAGTAATACGTTTTCTGATATGATGCCTTAACTTGCTTTGAAGTAAAATTGACAGCATCAAATGATGCTTTATTGTTCAAACACGAAGGCTGTTGTGAAAGAGGGAATGCCAAAGGTTCAACAGCTGAAGAGAATAAGGAAAACCATATGTTAATGGTCCAGAAAATTTAAACTGTATTGTTTTGGACTAAGTGAATTGTGCCATCAGCACTAGGAATAGCTCATCAGTTTTTTAAGGGCATTTCAAAGGTACATTGGTTAAAGTGGATATATTACTTTCACGGGAAACTAAACGATTGAATTTTTTAGAACTAGCAAGATTTTCCAGTTTTCAGTGATTGTTTAGTTGCTTCGTCAAAGGATTATAAAGGATGGTCAAGTTACTCCTTACCGAACTGAGAGAACAAAATTCGAGACACAGAAACAATCTCTTCAAGGATAAGTATAATTAACTCTTCCGTACTTCACAGGCGGGAGCCATGCTGATTCATCCTTTGGCAAAGGATTATCAAGGTCATTATGATGATCTTTTGCAGAGAGATGGGTTGAATATCATATTGTGATTTTTTTATTTAAATTTGTTTTGTTTGGTTCTTTTATATGAATATGACCCTTGTCGCTGAATAGTTGATGAGATTTGATAATAATCTTCCATTAGATTGCAGTCATGTTTGAAATAGTTCTAACTTCTAACTACATATCTGCTTACATGATGACCTGAAGCTTTTCCATTATTAGGTATACAAAAATGGGATTTGCTGGCAATGTTGAACCTTCCTTCATCATCCCAACCATAGTTGCTGTCAATGAATCTTTTTCGAATCAACCAAAGAGTTCTAGTAAGGGAAATTGGCTCACACAGCATACTGCAGGTGTAGTGGCGGACCTTGACTTTTTAATTGGAGAAGAAGCCTTAACATGTTCTCGCTCTAGTAATATGTACAGTCTTAGTTACCCCATCCATCATGGTCAGGTATGATAGTGCCAAGATATACAGGTCCATTTAATTTTATTTTTTTGTGGATTTTTTTGAGCTTATAGTGCCAAT